GGATGCATGACAAGGTACAGTTGGCCTTCCTGACTGCGTCTCCACACTGTCAGCCCATGTTCATTTTGGCATCAATAATGACTCCAAGATCCTTCTCTGCCTCTGCACTGACGAGAAGGGAGCTCCCCAGCCTGTAGGTATGGTGCTGGTTCTTCCTCCCCAGGTGCACTACCCTGCACCTGTCCGTGTTGAAACCCATCCTGTTCTCATCTGCCCACCCCTGTAATCTGTCCAGATCCGATTGCAGCCTATTCCCCCCTTCTTGCGTGCCCACTTCTCCCCACATCTTAGTGTTGTCTGCGAATTTGAACAGGGTGCTTTTTACCCCCTCGTCCAAGTCGCTGATGAAGATGTTGAACAGTGCGGGCCCGAGGACCGAGCCCCGGGGGACCCCACTGCTCACATCCCTCCAGGTTGAAAGAGACCCATCCACCACCACTCTCTAGGTGTGGCCCTCCAGCCAATTAGTGACCCATCTGACTGTGTCTGTATCAACGCCACAGTCTCCTAGTTTTTTAGTGAGGATGGTGTGAGAGACAGTGTTAAAGGCCTTCCTAAAGTCCAGAAATACTATGTCCACTGCAACACCTGCAGTCCAAGGATTTTGTCTCACACTGTCCATGTATTGATCCTGAGGGACAATGGATGTGTTCCCCACTTGCAGAGACACACCCCAGAGCGATCTCCAGGGCATGTCTCTGTAGACAGGGAAAGCTGGGTTTCCCCCTGGGCCTGTCTCTGTATGAGGTGAAAGCCATGCAGGTGCTCCTGGGCTACAGAAGCCTGATCCTGCATGGGAATTCCTGGGGTGCTGGGGGGGGCCCCTCAAACCCCAAGAGCACCTGCTTGGGGTGGCTGGAGACAGCTCCAGGCTGCCTGTGCTCTCACACTATAAAGCTGACAGACATCTGCTGCAATATAAGCTGCATATACACATTCAAATTATATGGGACAATTCTTCCAGGTTTGGTCTCTTGGTAGAAAAGCTTGCCCAGAGCCACTTGTATTAATATTTGAATGCTGAGACCTGAAGAGTGAGGAGTTTGCAGGGCTGACACTAAGCCAGAGTGGACCTCTGTGCACACATATAAGTTTGCTCTGCAGACTCCCTTTCAATGACAGAGCAAAACCCTTGCCTGATTCCAACTGCCAGGAAACTAGGTACACCCCACTACAAAGATGGTACAACATAAGAGGAAGCAAGAGCTGAAGTCATTCTTGTGGGAAGAGTATTAGAAACTGAGTGACCAACAGGGAGTCTAGGGCTCCTGTTACTTTAAGGGGGGAAACATTCTGGATGAAACTCCAGGTGAGGGGAGACTGCACATAAAGGGCTGTAGGAGAGCTGGCCACTAGGGATGTATAGGTTACAGGCTATGAGACAGGCTTCTTGCTGCCCACCCAGATCCTATCACAGTGTTGGTGATTTCTCAGTCTACTATAAGAGCCCTGCACAAGAGGCAAAGTACTTCTACAACAGCTAGCTCAGCCACTACAGGTTACAGACAAATCAGCAAGCATAATTAGAGAACACCTGTAGCCAGCTCACTGAAGTCATCTAACCAGAAAGGGACAGGGCCTGGGGACATAAACCCAGGCCTTGAGCCAGGGCAGTCACTCTAGCTCTAGAGGCAAAAAGGGAAAGAGCCCTGCTGCCAGATGGCTGTTGCTGGATGACTGACTGAGACCCCACCAAGCCTGAGAACAGCAAGTAAGGAGCTAAGGTCTAGTAGGGGACTGAGGCCCCGAACAAACAGAGATGTGCAGTAGACAGCCAGGGGGCTTAGATTTAAGTTATAGCTAGAGTGCTAAAGTTGTGTTTGAATTTTAGTTTAGTGCACCCTAATACAAGTGCAAGTGTGACGGTGATGCTTTACTGTGGAGCTAATTGGTCTACTCCACAGTAAAGCACATGTGCAAGTGCACCCAGTAAGAGTGAGAATCTCAACAGAGGGGTATCTATGTAAAATAGTATGTACTATATAATGCATACACATGTACAACAGAGACACAAAATTCTAATTCCTCTTAAGATTTCTTTTTTGCTGTTATGCTGCACCTTTTTATCTTAAGTGATATACTGTTACCCAAATTTAAAAAAAAGAGCAGCAGGAGCATCACAAATATTCTAAATTGCATTTCATAGGTTGCATTTATCACCTACACAAATAGAGGAAAGGAAAAAAAGATCAAGCATCTACCTGCAACCATGTCACCATTTGGTCCATGCCACTGGAATATTGGATCAATCAGTTCTGAAACCCGTAGCCGATTTGTCACACATAGAATACGGGGACTTTCATGATTCAACCTGACATAGACTTTGACTGAAAATACAACATATGATCATCAGTAGCAAATATTTCTTAGGCAACATAAAATGTCTGTACTACAAAAATAAGCTAATAAAGTGCAGTCTTTTTTTTTAAGCATAACCCCAGCAGGGTTCTGATTTTGAGGTTGCCCTACAGTCTCCATCACCAAAAAAAGAAATACTAAAGACATGCTCTTGCCTTTTGAAGTGGAATGGAAAGTTTGGGGATTTTTTTTTCTCATTTTACTAAATATTCTTTTCAATGATAACCTCTCAATTCCTTCTGTTTACACCATGCTTTTATTTTCTGTAAGAACTGCAGCATATTTCACCATGCTCCTTGGAAGAATGGAATGTATCTTGAAATTCATCCAAGAGGGCCTCTCTTGCAGGATTCCCCAGTGTTTTGTTTTGTCTCCTTTATGGTTCAGCATATAAGTCACCATGGAGGACAGCGAGCTGGTCTGCAGCTTCCAAGGGGGCTGCAGGGCCAGGCAGATGACCAGCTGGTCCTGTTTGGAACCAGCTGGGCTGTTGCGAGCAGGGGATGGTTAAACTCTCTAGGTGGGGGGAGCCTCCCCTGGAGGGGAACCTTGCTAACCCCAACTGGGTTGCAAGTTCCCTGTAAAATAATGGCATGATTAGGATTGGTCTCTGATTTTAACAAGTGCATATCCTGCTATGAATCTGTGGCATGGCAGTATGTGCAATTTTGGAGATAAGATCCTATCACTACATTATTTTAAGATATGCCAGAAGCCTCAAAAACAACTCCTAACCTGTTTGTGAGGCAAATAGTGTGGCTTTTTGCTTAGTGAAGCTCAATACAGTGCCCATCAGTTATTACAATCTCACTCAATAGAATCAGCCACCTACTATTAGAATCAAAACCCCAGAACCAAATGCCAAAAGCATTGTAAATAGGCTTTTTCAACTGTATAACACGCCCCTGCCTTGTTGCTAGGGGTGGTGAAGAGTATGAGCAGCCCCACACCCCAGACCTGGGAGGACTTGCTGAAGGCTAGGGAACCATGTCCTGGGACGTAGTGAGTCTTCCCACAAGGAAGCCTGCACAGGTGTGGCAAGTGAGAGAGAGTTAGCCATGTGGGCCCACAGGGGGAAGGATAAAAGATGCTGAAACCTGGCTAGAGCAGGTTGCCTATAGTGTGGGGTTGTTGTGGGTTAAGCCAAAGGGCTGAGAGCAGGGTTCTCTTCTGTTCATTTGTTTCCTTGCTTGGTTTGTTTTGTTTGCACAAACCAGCAGGCTCTGCAAAACCTATGAAAGATAAGAGGCAACCAGAAGTTGAAGCCTGGGAGAACCATTGGAAGACCGCTAGGTGATAGTTTATTTGTTTAACTTCCTTTGTTTGTTTTCCATTGCTGACAAGCTGGGGTGGAGCAGAAGCAATGGCCAAGGACCTACTGTTAAGGGCCCAAGCCAGCAGCAAAAATTAAACTGCTCAGCTCTACCAGCTTGACCAACATACCCTGCTGTGGTCTGCCCAGAATCTCCCATAGCAGCTTATACTGTTAAAATAAAGTTGCTAATAAGCAGTGTGTATGCTTTACACAGAAATAGGTGCTCGTTAGAATCGAAGCCTTAAGATACTTCAACCTTGGCAGTGAAGAATTGCTTTAACATTGATCTAAACAATATACCATATGCTTTCTGTGAAAAACAGGAACAATGGACTTATTTTAATTAAAACTAATGGCAGACATTTCTCCCCCACCAAATAGAGAGTTCACATTGCGTTTTAAAGTTAGGCCCTTTCTAGCAAGGGGTATCTCCAGACTATATTTTATAACATGTGTTAAGCTAAGGCCCAACTGCTCCATGGAGGTAATGCAATCAGGAGAGGACTCCAGTGCAGTGCAGAGGTGGGAGCCTGATAAAGCTGTCTGTCAGGCTCCCAGCCTCCTTACTAAACCAGAGCCTTGAACTGGCAAGGCTCCAGTGTGGTAAGAAGGCTGGGAGCCAGATAAACAGCTTTTTGTGGGGTTCCCACCAAGTCCCCCACTGCAATGGAGATTTGCTTGTGTTGCTTCTAGACCTGACACTACACCAGAGCCTTGAACTAGAGAAGTTCCAAGGCTGAGACTGAGAATCAGCCCTGGGATATTACCAGAGGTGGTTCAAGACCCTGTGTAGTACAAAAATCTATATTTAGATCCCAGTAAACATTAAAGTACAACTGATCGGAAAAGTTGTATTAATGCTTGCTTACTGGGATCTAAATATAACATGTGCTAAATATAATATGTAACAAGTAACATCTCTGTGGCTCATTTGCTATATTCTTATTCCACAGATTAACATGTGTCACTGTTACTATTCATGGCATCATTAACACTTGAATCATACCAGGGCTCAAAACTTCAAAGTGGCCCAGACACCATGCAACTGGCTTTTCTTTATTCTTCTCAGATCTGTCTCTCTAACTGGACATTCTGTCCAAAACCTGAAATACTTTCCCAACAAAAGTCATTAATGAAATCTTTCTGAAACTAAAATTGTTTGCAACACACACTTACATAATCACATAATTAAAAAAATTCCCAATCAGCTGTCTTTCTGATCTTCAACCCATAAACTATTCTGAAGACATCCCCAATGCTGACTTCCTCTAGACCAGTCTGGATTATAGAAGTGCTTTGCAAAGAGGTGTGACTATCTTATTACAGCTGGATGAAGGATTTTGTTTCTGGCTCCCTTGGGCCCTTGACAGACATTCACTTAAAGGCACAATGGGATCTGATTCCCAATCCCATACTCGCACCAGCCATGCATGTGTGGCATGGTAGGTATGATTGCTAAGATTGGAGAATATATCCCAATCACACCAGTTCTGCCAGTGTACAGGGACCAGCAGGTTGGGTGCCTGACAATCAGCTGATTGTCAGCTGGCTTCAGGGACTGTGGGGCCATTCCACCCATCTATAGTCCTCAGAGCTGGCCTAGAGTCAGCTGATTGTCAGACTGGGACTGCCTCCGGGCTTGAGCACCACAGCCATCCTGATCTCCCATCCACTGGCAGGGACCACCCTAGGATTCAAGTCCTGGGGTGGTCACTGCCAGCTGATAAGCAGCTGATCAGGACAGCCCAGGGTTCAAGCCCAAGGCCCACTCCAATCTGACACTAGCTGGCAGAGACAGCCTTGGGGCTTGAGTCCCACATCCATCCCCACCAGCTGATCAGGACCAGCCTTGAGCTTGAGCGCTGAAGTAGTCCCTGCATGGCATGCCATATGTTCAAATTATGGTGCCGTGCAAACCAGCCACAAAGATATTGTGTGTTTTTCAAGTACTATCTTTGTGGCTTGTTTGTGATTTTTATGGCACTAAAAATTCTGTCTATATGTGGCCAGTTGCTATTTCTAGTGCGATTAACACCTTCATTATGCCAGAAACATAATATATGCCAGGGGCCTAACTTTTAGTTATATATATATAATTATTATAAGAATATCAAACAATATTTAATTTTATTTTAAAATATGTTATAAATAAATTTGGTAATGACTGTGTTGTTAGCTAATCACAGTTGGGGTGGGGCATTGATGGGGAAATTGTGGAGGTGAATTGCATTAGGTGAATTCCATTACAATTTGTGAATTCCACTATTCCTATAATTTATTTGTATAAACCTAAGTTAAGATGGGGTGATCAGTATTAAACTGGTGGTAGACAGTTCCTAACCGAAGTACTACACAACACTGAGGAACAGGCTGGATCCTTTAACTAGCATATTTCAGATTTTTTTTAATATTTGGTTTATTACATGGTAATGGAAATCAGTAACTATATTTTAGAGTTATCTAGATGTCATTGAAACACACATGTAATGTTAATTATTTTAACAACATTTTTGTTGGAATATAACAGCACTGAAGTCCAAATGCCACATGTATAGAAAAAATTTGATGTTTCATGTTCTGTAACTTCAAAGAAAGCAGTTTTTCAAAGCTGTTGCAGGACACTGGGTATCTGATATACCTGTTTTATCTTGAAGCAAGACCCTTGTAGTTCAATTATGACTGGTTCTGCATAGGTTCGAAAACCTTGCTCCCATTATCTCTGCACAGACATTAGGCCTGTACTTTAAACAGTTGCAGCTGGCTCTTTGGATGGGTTATATGAAGCACAGCAACAGTGTAATGCTACCTACAGAACTAGGTTATCCAAAAGATAGGGGCAGAGCATTGTAAGAATATGACCTTCAAACGGTTTTGTAATAATCAACCCAGCTGGCCTAACCCTGTGAGGAAAGCATTCTGTAACCCAGTAAAGAGTGGTAGACTTTCTAGTCCACTGTTCATCCTCTGAGTCCTTGGAGAAACACTAGCTGTTATATCCCTGAACACATCATGTGGCATAATATGACCTTTATACCATATAACATATGGGAGGAAAATTCTTTTGAACAGTGTTCTAATGAAGCTTCTCTAATGTATTTATTTTTCAAGCATTTAAACTAGTCACTGAAAAATCATTTTATTATATTTTAGGGAAACATTTCACCAATATCATTTTAAACAACAACTATGATGAAGAACAGAAAGTTTATCAATTAAGAATGTTACATACTAAAAGGAAAGCGATATTAAGGGTAAATAAATAGAGCAGCTCATAGCTGTAATCCATTTACAGTTTGCATATCGTCGTCTTGAGTGAATTTGATAGCACAATGACAAAATCATTTATAAAAGTGACAGATTACACAATTACCATTAATGTTTAAAATATGAATACCAGGAAATGTAGTTGATCCCACTATTTTCATGTCCTTGGATTTTTCATTGATACTTCTTGAGAATCTCTCTGAAGAATTAACTGTTAAAATATAAAATATATTCTGATATTAAAGCAGAGACTTAAAATTACCAAGAAAGCAAGTACTGAGCTACAGGTTAATGTAAAAATTTCCAAGATTTGTTCACCAACAGATACAAGGCACTCTTTTATAAGTTCTTGTATAAAAGTAACCCCCATTAAGGCAATCTAAATTAAATGAGCAAGACAATGATATAGACATCTTTACTCTCAATGACATAAGCACATACTTAACATTAAGTACATTCTTACATATTACACAGGGGCACAGTATGAATAATACGTTTTGGAAATGAAGTGCCACTAAATTCAGAAAAGTTATAGACAGGTGCCTCCAATCTAAAATTGTATTCTAGGTGAAACTCTTCTCTCTCTTATCTTTCAATCAAGCTACTCCTGTGCTGCCTAAAAAAAATCAGCAAGCAAGCAAAATGCACAAGAATACAGGAGAGCCAATCCCACTTCTCTCAGCTGCCATGCTGAGTACAACAGCACCAACTGCAGAGAAAATTCTACTCTGTCGCTTCAGCCATGGGGTACAGCAGGCTCAGTACATATAGTTTTTTTAGAGGCTAGCTCTCAAACTAGTAAGTGTATACTGATCATGTACTATTCTATTCTTAAGATCATTTGAATAAAGAAAAGACTGACTGAAATCCTGGAGTTCTTAAAGGACCCAGATTTTGATTAATTTTAGCTCATAAACTAATAGACCTACTTGTAAATTCTCAGAAAATGATAATATACTTAAATACTCAGTGCAAGTCTCCAAAGAGGATATAGTACATATATATATCTAACAAAGAGACTAACTTTAAATATAAAACTGAACTTGACTGTATATATGGAGTTCCTATTAGTCTCCCTCCATACAGCATGGCATGTAGGATAGGAAGCTCTTAAAATTTCTGAGTGACAGGTCTTTTGGAATCTCTTAAACTCTGTGTTTAAATATCACACCTATTGTTGGATGATTTCTTAATACTGAATCAATATTGAGTCTTAACTTTCTCTTCAGAGCTAAAATCAGGCTTATTAAAGTTATTTTAATTTGTCTACATTCTGGATTACAAAAGAGAGAATCAAATTTCATGAGAACTGCACAGGTATGAAAAACACTTTGGAAAGAGAAGGAATTTAAAATGAGTCATTCTAGTTCAAATCAGACAAGACTTTCTCTTGCATATTTCCTGAAAAAGAGTTTCAGAATGTTATTGTTTTTGTCTCCACCCACTGTTTGAAAACAGCATACCCTACAATGATGTAAGGCAGTGGTGCCCAACTTTTTTGTTGTGTGCCCAGGATGGGTGGCGCCAGGTCTATCTGTGGGCAAATCCAGCTGATAGGCTTGATCTAGCACGAGGCCAGCATGGCAAAGACCTACTCCAGTTTCGGGGAGGGAGGAGGGTGCACAGACTCCCCCACACACATGAGGATCGAGGTCAGAGACAGAACTGCAGCAGCCTCAGTCTGGACACATAGGGGGTTGAGGGGAGTGAGGAACAGCCCAGCCCTGATCTGGATGCACAAGGGAAGGAGACAGTGGTGACAGCATCCCCCCAATCTGGGCATGGAGGTGGTGGAGGGGTGGGGATGAGAGAGGAGCAACCTGGCCCCAATCCTGATCTAGAGGTGTGGAGTGGGGAGGGGCAGGGAGCAGCTTGGCCCTGATCCAGATGTGTGAGGGGGTGGGGATGAGGACAGAAGCAGCTCAGCACAATCCAGACAGGTTGGGGTGAGCCCAAACCTAATCCAAGCACTGCAATGGCCAGGGTGGGGCTAGATCTGGCCATGTGAAGCTTCTACCACTCCTCCGCCACCAAATTTTCCAATGCATGAGGATACCCACAGGCTGGATGGTATGGCTCTATGGGTCAAATCAGACCCACAGGCCAAGGATTGTACACCTTGATATAAGGCAACATACTGTAATTTTGCAAAGCATTTGGGAACTTGTCAAAGAAGCTACAGATATTAGTAGTAATAAGAATACGAAGATCAACAAAAAAGAAAGTATAGAAAAATATCAAAACTATATATATCATTAATCATGATTATATTATCATTCGTGTGTGTGTGTGTGTGTGTGTGTGTGTGTGTGTGTGTGTGTGTGTGTGTGTGTGTG